TATATATATATATATATATATATTCTATGGAATCCAAAAAAGTTCAATCTGGTCCTCTGGACATTAAAAAATAAATAAATGTAGATATGTTTCATCTCTCATCCGAAAGACTTCCTCAGTCTGAGGTGCTGTCTGAGGAAGTCTTTCGGATGAGAGACGAAACGTATCTACATGTATTTATTTTTGAACGTCCAGAGGACCAGATTGAACTCTCTTGGATTTTTCCACCTGGATTATTGAGCAGCATCAGGATATTCTATGGAATGTTATGAAATCCGAGAATTATGTGTGAAAGTGAATCATCTCGTCAGGCCTCTCTTGTAAATGAGTCCTGGAGGCTCAGTGGGACCTACGTGTGTAATAAAGGTTGAACGTTGACCAGAACGCAGTTTGTCCAAGGCCAGATGCGCCAGCTGCGCCACGCTGCCCCCTTCCGGTCTGCTGTGGAACTGCACCGACTAGTTCCTGGTTGTTGGAAAACACGCTTTCGGCGACTGTTCGCGTTGCTCACAGCTTGAACTTTTAAAAGCATGGATTTAGCTGGTTCTTAGTTTGCTGAAGGGATCTGAGACGAAGCCCCCATCTAAACTGTAGTGTGTCTGTTGCAGGTTTGCTCAAGGTATGAGTGTGTAGTCCGCTTCCTACAAGGCTTCTACTCTGCAACCGCTAGCTAACTTGCCTGCTAGCTAGCCTCCAGTTCAAAATGACTGAGCACTGCGCTGCAGCGAGCTGCGACGACCAGCAGCAGCCATCCGAAGACACCACTCCGCTCTTCAGCTTTCCTCTGGACCCAGAGCGGTAAGATCCTCGATCCTTTGGTGCACACGAGTGGATCCCGCCGCCTGCACATTGAACGTGTTAGCTTGGGAGTGCTAGCATTAGCGTTAGCCTCTCGTCACGTTAGTGACCCAACTCCTGGAAAATGGCGCAGACTCAGCGTTACTCCTGAATCCTGGGACAATCACAGTCCCCTCACTGACCGAGCCTCGGAAACAGACGCAGTTCGTCACATGTGCACTTCGGGCTAGCTTTGAGACGGTTTGTCCAGAGAGCGAGAAGCCGAAGCGAAATCAAACTTTGTTAGTAAGAGTCGGTGGAGCCGCCGTCCGGAGAGATGCCCGGGCTCGGAGCAGAGCCACGAAAACACGCAGCGAATCTGATCAAAGCAGATAATCTGGGATCAAAGCAGATAATCTGGGATCAAAGCAGCCATAAATCGTCCAGTGATTGGTTTTTATTTAGTTGGTTTACTTGTAAATAAACTTTATTTTCTACATGTCCGTAAAACAAAACGTTCCCCTTGTGAAACGATGTGAATGTTTACGAAGCGTTCACGCTGTTGTTTTTCCTTCAGGACGTTTTCTTGACCCGCAGGTCCCGCAGTTACCGCGGTCCCCCAGTTACCGCGGGTCCCGCAGTTACCGCGGTCCCTCAGTTACCGCGGGTCCCGCAGTTTTTGTGCTCTTGCAACGAATCATAAATCAAAACGTTCAGCTCTTCCAGGACTATGCTATGACTTTTGGTATTGGTGCAACTTTAGCTTTTTGACATATTTAACCCTTTTTGCCTTTTTTCCTCATGGAAAATGAATTGAGCTCATTTTACATCCTTCAAATCTTTAGATGTGTTTAAAACCTTTTCCTGCTTTCACGTTGAGTTCTGCTTCAGCTTCTTCCTTGAGCAAAAAATAAAAAAATTCAGCTACTTTCAGCTGTTTTGTGCTCCTTTCAGCTTCTTTCTGCTAACCACAAAACTTTTGTGCTTCTAACTTCTTTCAGCTAATTTCTGCAAGTTTCACCCTTTTTAATATTTCAGCTATTTCAGCTAAAATTTAGCTGCTTTACGCTAATTTAAGCTTTTTCAGCTACTTCCACATTTTTTGCACTCTAAAAAAAATTCAGCCTAATTCAGCAAACATGTGCTCTCCACTTCCTTCTGGTAATTTTAGCTTCTTTCCGTCTTTAGCTACTTTTCAACTAATTTTTTTGTGCTATTTGGGGTGGGGGGGGTCAGATAATTTCTAACTTTTGTGCTCAGTTCTGCTTTTAGACTAATTTGGCAAACGTCGTTCTTCTGCTAATTTAAGTTTGTTCTACGTCATTAGCTACCTTTTTAGCTAACTTTAGCTCATTTCAGCTGTTTTCAGATAAATTCACATTTTTGTGGTAATTTCTGCTACCTTTAGCTTAATTAACCTCTTTCTGCCAATTTCAGCTTGTTATACTCATTTCAGCTTTTTCTGTTATTCCAGCTACTTTTTAGCTGTTTTTATGCTCAATTTAGCTTTTTCAGCTAATTCCATTGTTTTTTTTGTTTTTTTTTAGCTCATATCAGCTCCTTCTACTTGCTTCTAGTACTTTGGTCTTCTATCTGCCTTTTCAGCTGTTTTTTTTTTTTTTTTTTTTTTAGCTAATTTACTCATTTTTGTCAAGTCAAGGTTCTTTATTGTCATTTGCATTGAATGTGGTGCATGAGGTGGAACGAAATTGTGTACATAGGGTCCCAGTTACATCATCAATTGAATTCAACAGCAAAAATATAAAGTGTAAAAAGAAACGGTAAATAAGGATCTAAGAAACGAGCGTCCAGCAGTACGCTCAAAGATCTAAGATGCACGCCAGTCGCTAATCGTGCAAAACAACAGCCGCGCGATTCTCATAGGTTCAGTTCAGCTAAAACTTACACGCTTAATGTGAGCACCAAACTTAACGTGAGCACTAAACTAACGTAAACTAGGATTTATTCAAAGCATGCAACAAAAAAACAGAAACAAGGCGGTAAAAGTACAAAAATAAATAAATCTACAGCAGCATGGTCCAATTGGCAGAGTGGTTCTGATGACAGAGAGGTTTCATTTAGCAACATGGTCCAGTTGGCACCATGGTGCTGTTCGTAGAGGTTCACCGATTATCAGCCCCGATTTCCTTAATTTTAGGTAATCGTAAATCAGCCGATACTTGCATGAGAAACTGATTTTTTTTTTTTGTTGTTTAGTTTTAACAACAATTGTGTGAACTTCATTTATATTTCAGAGCACGACCTCATGGCCAGTTAGAACCAGTTTGTATTGTTTCTAGGATGTTGCTCAAGGGTGTTTTTCAATAAAATAATAATGGAAAATTGAAGGTGCATCGTGAACTTATAACTCCTGACAGTGTCGCTTATAAAACAAAATCGGTATCGGCCAAAATTGCAACGGGCAGGTCAAGACTTCTTAGAAGTTGGTGATCGTCCAGAAAACTGCAATCGGTGCGCCCCGAACTGTTAGCGTCATGGTCTTGTTAGCAGCGTTAGCAGGTCCAGTCAGCAGCTTGATGGTAATAATTTCCTTGCGGAGCCGAACAGGTCTCTAGAGTCTGGTTCGTGCAGACAGATGGAGGATCATGGAGACATGACAGGACTGAGGCTGGAAGGACCGAACCACGATGGAAGGCAGCGACGCAGAAACCTCCACAAGTGTGTCGCGGTCATACCCGTAGTGTGGCGCAAAAAAAGTTAAAAACAACAGGAACATAAAAGATTCTGCTTATTTAAACTTACCATAATTCAGCAAACATGCATTCTTTCTGCTAAGCTAGGCTTGTTCATCCATTTCAGCTATATTTCAGTATGCTTTAGCTCATTTCAGCTGTTCTTCAGAAAATTCTTCTGCAATAAGCATTCACACTGCTTTTTCGCAGGAAATGCAATTTCTTTAGTTTCTTTTATTGGTTCATCTGTTTTTTACGAATGATTAAATTAACTAGTCGACATCGTTCTTGTAAGATCGGTAAAACAAATCTTTTAGCAGCAGAATAATCGAATCATAACGAGTCGTTAATCATCTGGGTCACACGGCAGTAACTTTATTTTCTTGAAGTGTCAACAAGGTCCCAGGAAGGAAAGGCCTAGCGTTCTTTAATTGAATGCACATCACCCGCCACCTTTCGTGGTTTAAACTACGGTCATCGTAATGAGAAGTCGTAGCCACTTCGACCAAACCTTAAAATCTGCATTCCAACATCTTTTGTGATGTCATGTCGGTGTTCTGAGAAGGACTGCCAGCTACTACCACACCAAATTTTAGCTCCGTATATGTAAAATCAGCTGGGTTTGAACTATTTTAGTGTATTTTAATGTCTGTTGGCTGTGGTGGCCATTTTGAATTGGATTCACTCCAACAAAAGTTTTAGGTGCACATCTAATACGGTAATTTCTTTCTAAGTTTAATTCAACTTTGTTCAGTAAGAAGTTTCATAAGATATTTTCCCAACATATAATTGAACATAGACACAGTTAAAGACAGCATTGCTCACCTTTCTGAGGCAGGCAATTAAATCTGAATATACAGTAGTCCCTCGTTTATTTGGGGGGTTCCATTCCTAGCCCACCCCACCCTGCGATAAGTGAAACACCACAAAGTAGAAATAGTAATAAGTAGTAGTTTATTTTAATATTTATATAGATGTATAGTAAGGCGTTTTAAACTCTTGCAATATTCTAAGCGATGTTTCTAAACGCTCTAAAAGAAAACAGAATGTCATGATTTCAGCTCTCTGCCACCTGCCGCTCTTGGCCACGCCCACTTCTCCACTGCCGTCGCTGGCAGGTGGCAAATATGACACGCTGCAGGGGGGAGCTTTTCCCTGCACCCGTGTGCTGCGCACAGGTGCAGCAGGTTCTGAATCATTAAAATTGATTTAAAATAAACAATCCGTGCAGCTCATCCATCAGTCAGCCAGTTGTGTCATGTCCAGTCTTACTTGGAAAAACCACGAAAGTCGAAGTAGCGAGGGACTACTGCATACTTAGTTGTTGTGCCCAGAGCTTGCACAGCACTATCTGAGGGCCAGAATGTCGTGATACAAATATCTTAGACACTTGAACCTTGACGACTTTCTTCTTGACTTTTCAGCTGCAAGCAATGGTTGGACAACTGTCACCGGCAGGATTTGGCATCCGAGCCTCCAGAGCAGCTGCACAAGTTGTACAGACTTTGTGCGAAGCATTTTGAGCCCTCTATGATGTCTCACCAGGTAATACCCAGACCCTGTAGCTCATTGCCTTTTGGTCAGTTCAGCTCCTACACTCTGCTGTAATGGAGGCAGTATGTACCTCAACATTGTCTTGCTGAACAATCCAGAAAAGCACGTGTCTAAAGACCTGCATATAGTTTTCTGCATCGAGGACACCTGTATTATGAAATTCTTTATCAAAAGGGTTCGTGAACGATCGGCACAAGATATTCAGACAAGAGGGAAAAATAAAACACAGAGACTGTTACTGCTAGGAATAATAAGTGTCATTTATTAACCTGCCACAGAAAACAGCCAAGCAAGAACATGTACACTCGTACACTCTTAACACACAAAATGATATGAAAGAACTTCTCACCGTGACACTGGCCGGGAAGTCGTTTTCGACCCAGGTAAAGAAGAATCACATCATCAACTGCATGGCACCGCGCGCGCTGGTCCACACAAGACTTCCCGGCCAGTGTCACGGTGAGAAGTTCTTTCATATCATTTTGTGTGTTAAGAGTGTACGAGTGTACATGTTTTTTGCTTGGCTGTTTTCTGTGGCAGGTTAATAAATGACACTTATTATTCCTAGCAGTAACAGTCTCTGTGTTTTATTTTTCCCTCTTGTCTGAATATCTTGTGCCGATCGTTCACGAACCCTTTTGATAAAGAATTTCATAATACAACACCTTTTTAGATGTGTAAGCTGCCTCTGCCATAGGCACTCATGCACCCTCATACCATCAGAGAGGCAGGCTTTTGAATGGGCCCTTTTATTTTTAGTGCGTTGAATGTCTGTGCTGTCTAAAACTGAATTTTAAATTTCTATTTGTCTGACCACAGATCAGTTTAAATGAGCTTTGACCCAGAGAAAACAGCAACTTTTGTAGATGGTGGTTACGTATGGTTTGTGCCCGACCTTCTGAGATTTGGCTTCTCTTAAAATCCAACATCTTTCAGTCAGGTCATCTGGACAGTTTCTTTTTTTGTGCTGAAACGTTTCGCCTTCGATCCAGAAGGCTTCATCAGTCAAGGAAACACACAACAAAACTGATTCTTCCCCCAACAGCTTACTCCAAAGTGGAACAAACCAGTTCTGCTTGTGATAAGATGGTCTCTTTGGCACGCCCCCTCCTCCGTTGCCGGCCCTCTTCCTTCAGGCGTACCAAAGAGACCATCTTATCACAAGCAGAACTGGATTGTTCCACCTTGGAGTAAGCTGTTGGAGGACGAATCAGTTTTGTTGTGTGTTTCCTTGACTGATGAAGCCTTCTGGATTGAAGGTGAAACGTTTCAGCACAAAAGGAACTGTCCAGATGACCGGACTGCAAAATGTTGGATTGTACACCTGGATTATTGAGCTGCAGTAACGTTAACAAACGTAAACACACCAGCTGGAATCCCCGACACAGCTCCGTCCGGTCGTGGAGATGATGAATGAGACCGTTCAACACTCACAGGCTGACTTTAACACTGGGGGGTGCTGTCCTTCTCTCCTTGCAGAAAAACACGGATCAACATGCTCATAGATTGAAGCCATTCGAGCCACATGCGCCGCACACGTGAACCCCGTCTGTGGGCGTAACCAGCACCATAGACATGCAAGCTGCTGTATAGACAGCTCTGGGTGTAAACACAGTCTGTTTGTCATATGTCTGTGTTTTACCTGCGTGTGCTGAAACCACGTGACACGTTACAGCCAATACCGAAACTTGACACAGACAAAAGAGTGACGTTTCGATCCACACACCGACAGACGCAGTTCGGTCGGTGCTGTAAAAGAACCTCGGTTCGGTACTCAGCTCTACATATCACTTGTTTTTTACACTTTTGTTTCATGGGTTCCATCTTTTAAAAGATGTTGCTGCCATAAAATTCTAAAAACCTTTTCCTCTTAAAATTAGTGCATTTCCTTAAGGATTTTTCATGTTTTCTGTGTACTCTGTTACATAAATACACTCAGCAGCGCTAACCTTTATCTGTTTTTCAGAAAGGTTTTGGCACTAATTTAAAAACGTTTCCTTGAAAAAAAATTGTCAACGATAAAAGCAAACCATCTACTTTCCTTAACCTTGATCTACTTTTTTCCAGACTGCATCCAGTTGTGTGTTAAAGGAGGATGCTGTTCCTACAATATTTAATGAAACGACGCCTATGGACGAACAGCCGGCTGCTAGCAGGAAACGAGCCAGAGATCCTGTAAGTATTTACTGACTTTTCAAAAATGACACAGGGCTGGACAATAATTCAGTATCGATATATGTTGTGATAAACTTTTATTCAATAACGCTGGTATGAGTTTTAAGCACATTTTCAATATTTCGATATGATGACAGCGTTTCACTGACGCATTTCTTCTTCTGTCGGGGCTGAAACTGAAGCGGCCGCTTCAGTTTCAGCCCCGACAGAAGAAGGTGCGACACAACAAGTGCGTGGTGACGTAGATGTTACGCAGAGCTCGAGTCCAGAAGGAGTCGGCGGTAGCAGGCTAGGCTAATCTCAACGCACGTTAAGTTTTCTCTTCAAAGTGAGTGCTCATGACGTCAGAACGTGACTGAACAAGCTTTAACGAGCAAAGAGGAAACAGATGACATCACTGAGGAGAGAGGAACGACTGATTCAGTGGTGTGGACGTGGTTCGGCTGTTTGAGGTCCGATAAACTGCAGGTTTCAGTCGGTGCGCTGCAAAATGTGACGGAGGGTCGTTCCAACTAGTGGTGGAACATCGAGCTGGTTCCACTCGATAGAATCTGCTGAGAGTCAGAAGATGAAGCTCGATAAGGTTTGAGCCAACGTGTCCCTGAAGCACCCACAGCTGTTTCAAGAGACAAACTCATGCAGAAGTTTGCTGCATGAGTTCAGAGATTCTCTATTGTCATTTCACCTCATGTGGTACATGTGGTGGATCAAAGTTATGTACACAGGGTCCCAGTTACATCCAACAATAAAATGTAAAAGAAAAACAGTCATAAGATATGAACTAAGAAAAACATCAGCTAAAGATATGCTAAGCACTAACAGCATAAAAACAATAAACACAATACGCCGAACAGCAGCACGAACATGAGTAGATGAACATGAATCAGCAGCAACATGAAACAGATCAGCAGCAACATGATACAGATCAGCAGCAACATGAAACAGATCAGCAGCAACATGAAACAGATCAGCAGCAACATGCTACAGATCAGCAGCAACATGAAACAGATCAGCAGCAACATGAAACGGATCAGCAGCAACATGAAACGGATCAGCAGCAACATGAAACAGATCAGCAGCAACATGAAACTGATCAGCAGCAACATGAAACTGATCAGCAGCAACATGTTACACATCAGCAGCAACATGATACAGATCAGCAGCAACATGAAACAGATCAGCAGCAACATGACACGGATCAGCAGCAACATGAAACAGATCAGCAGCAACATGGTACAGATCAACAGCAACATGGTACAGATCAGCAGCCACATGATACAGATCAGCAGCCACATGATATAGATCAGCAGCAACATGAAACAGATCAGCAGCAACAT